CGACTCTGACTTTGAATGTTACAGTCATTGTGGCATTGAATTCCAGGGTGGAAACATCAGTTTAATTGTTTTAGTGACCAGAAAACAAATTTTGATATGCGTCGGCTTACCCAAAATGAAAGGTTACGTGCCCTTGGCATGCTACACATCGGCACAACACAGGCGGTTGTGGCGCGGACGATGAATGTTTCTCAGTCTGTCATAAGCAGGCTATGGTCCAGATACCGTGATACACAATCTGTACAGGACAGACCACGCTCAGGTCGACCAAGGGCGACAACTCAAGCCCAGGATCGATTTATCCGTACCTTGGCCTTGAGAAATCTTGCCATCACAGCAAATCAGATCAGCGCTCGTCTTCAAACAGACACTGGTGTGAGAGTGAGTGGCCAGAGGATTCGGAATCGACTGCATAGGGGTCACCTTCGCGCCCGACGTCCTCGCGTGATCCCTTGTTTGAGAGATCATCACATTCAGGCAAGACGTCGTTGGTGTAGGGATCGTCAACACTGGGATAATCGACGCTGGAGCAATGTGATGTTTTCAGATGAGTCAAGGTTCACTGTTGATTTTTTGGACAGACGTAGGAGGGTGTGGCGTCGTCGAAACGAGCGCTTCCAAGACGTTAACGTCATCAGACATGATCGATTTGGGGGTGGTTCTGTTATGGTGTGGGGAGGCATCACTGTTGCTGGAAGAACGGCTTTACATGTTGTTGCAGGGCGTGTTACAGGCCAGTACTACCGGGACAACATCTTGGCAGTCCATGTTGTGCCGTTCGCACGACGTCATGGCCGCCGTTTCATCTTCCAGGATGACAACGCAAGATGTCACAGGGCCAGGATCGTTACAGGTTACCTCCAACAACAGAACATCACCACATTACCTTGCCCAGCACTGAGTCCCGACCTCTCCCCCATCGAGCATGTCTGGGACATGCTTGGACAGAGGTTACGTCAACGTCAACAACGTCCTGTCAATGTCCAAGAACTTGCTGCTGCGTTGCAACAGGAATGGGACAATCTGGACCAAAATGACCTTAGACGTCTCATTAGGAGTATGCCACGTCGGATCAATGCTTGTTTGGCAAACAGAGGAGGATTTACCCGTTACTGACTTGGTTGTGATGCTGTGGTAACTTTGCTGTTTGACCCCGGGTATCATTTTACCCTTATAATGGTCAGTCTGTGCCTTACTTAGTCTAACGATCATTTGGAATAAATCGATGAATGTGAACTTCATTTCATTTTGTCATTTGTTTCTTCGTCAGTTTCATTAGGTGACTTTAATAACACTTAAAAATCAAATATCCCCTACTTTTTTTGAATAGTATATATGGCAATTCCAAAACTTAGTGAAGACAACTAGGTATTTTTATCACGTTATGATAATATACTCTTCCAAAAAAAAGTAGAGGATATTCAGAAACAATACAAAACTGTGGAAATCCACTGATGTTTTTATTAGAGGTAACCAGTGTATGTTAACAACAGGCCAATTGCCTACATATGAACATAAGCAGTTCATATGGGCGGCTTATCTGACGACCCCCTTTCACTCCCAAAGAGATACACCGTCAAAAGTGAGTAATTGCTCCACCAATCCTCAGACATTCAGCAATTCGTCGTGGCATGCTCCTAATCAACCGTTCAATCCCGATTTGGGGCAATCTGACCCACTCCTCTTGCAGTGCCACGGCCAATTCTTGCAGTGTTGTCTGTTGACGTCAACCAACACGTCTCCCGATCAAATTGAACATAACATAAACAAGCGGCTGCCAGGCAGGATACGCCCACATTTTCGAGAGATGGATAGAGAACAAGCTAAAAAGAAAGTGATTTTTCCTACAATCAAGGGCCAAAATTCAGGAAATTACAATTCGATATGCGCAAATATCGAAAGGAACCGAGATCTTTGGGTTATAAACTTACATTTCAAGTTTCAACAAAATCGGATAAAAAATTGTGACCTCTATAGGGTCCACAACCTTGATATACCATATTTTTACGCTATTCGAGAACGAGGGGCGGCCATTTTGTCTGTTAGTTTTGGGCCGATTTTCACGAAATTCGAACTCAGCCGTCCTTAGGGTGTAACGGTGATATAATAATATGTTTTTTTAAATTGGATAAACATTATGACCTCTATAGGGTCCACAAGATAAAAAAAGTGATTTTTCGTACAATCAGGGGCTATAATTCAGGAAGTTACGTCCCGATATGCGCGAATATCGAAAGGAACCAAGATCTTTGGGTTATAAACTTACATTTCAAGTTTCTTCAAAATAAGATTAAAATTGTGACCTCTATAGGGTCTACAACCTTGATATACCATATGCGCGAGTATCGAAAGGAACCAAGATCTTTGGGTTATAAACTTACATTTCAAGTTTCTTCAAAATAGGATTAAAATTGTGACCTCTATAGGGTCCACAACCTTGATATACCATATGCGCAAGTATCGAAAGGAACCAAGATCTTTGGGTTATAAACTTACATTTCAAGTTTCTTCAAACTAGGATTAAAATTGTGACCTCTATAGGGTCCACAACCTTGATATACCATATTTTTTACGCTATTTGAGAACGAAGGGCGACCATCTTGTCTGTCAGTTTTGGGCTGATTTTCACGAAAATTCGAATTCAGCCGTCCTTAGGGTGTAACGGAAATGAAATGAAATGAAATGGAGTTTAACATCCTACTGTTCTGCTCCTAACCTGGGCTAATGAAGACGGGCATACGCCATACAGTGTGCTATGAGGGAAATTTTGCCCGGACAGCGGCATTACGGCCTACTCTTATATCAAATTCCAACTGCCAAGGGATCTTTTACGTGCATGCCAATGTGTACACAGGACCTCAGTTTTCCATCCCATCCGAACGACTAGACAGCTTTCCTTGTCAGCCCCTCCGTCCTGCATCACTGACAAGGGAGAACCACGCCGGAAAATCTGGGTGAACTTTCTCGGCCAATGCAGGGATCGAACACCCGACCTCCAGGCTAGCGAGCTAGCGTCTTACCCACTTAGCCACGTGATCCCCAAGGGTGTAACGGTGATATAATAATACGATTTTTTAAATCGGATAAAAATTATGACCTCTATAGGGTCCACAAGCTAAAAACGTGATTTTTCGTACAATCAGGGGCCATAATTCAGGAAGTTACGGTCCGATACGCGCGAATATCAAAAGGAACTGAGATCTTTGGGTTATAAACTTACATTTCAAGTTTCAACAAAATCGGATAAAAATTGTGACCTCTATAGGGTCCACAACCTTGATATACCATTTTTTTACGCTATTTGAGAAGGAACGGCGGCCATTTTGTCTGTCAGTTTTGGGCCGATTTTAACGAAATTCAAACTCAGCTGTCCTTAGGGTTTAACGGTGATATAATAATACGGTTTTTTAAATCAGATAAAAATTATGACTTCTATAGGGTCCACAAGCTAAAAACGCGATTTTTCGTACAATCATGGGCCATAATTCATGAAGTTACGGTCAGATATGCGCGAATATCAAAAGGAACCGAGACCTTTGGGTTATAAGCATACATTTCAAGTTTAAACCAAATCGGATAAAAATTGTGACCTCTATAGTGTTCACAAGCTAAAAACGTGATTTTTCATACAATCAGGGGCCATAATCCATGAAGTTACAGTCCGATACATGCCAATATCGAAAGGAACCGAGATCTTAGTGTGATAAACCAATATTTCAAGTTTCGTTGAAATCGGATAAAAGTGTGACCTGTAGACTGTTCACAAACAATTGTGGACAGACGGACGGACAGGGGCGACGACAATATACGTCCACACGAAAATGTGGGCGTATAAAAAGCAAAGATACGCTATGCAAGAACCGATAGGAAAGTAATCATGGATAGATAAACCAGCACACGGCAGTTTTCATCAACCCTTCCTTGAATTGTCAAATTTGACAATGAACCCCTCCTACGTGTTTCGTACTATTGCGTGTCGCATGTGCAGCTCAGTGGTTCTGTTGGGGCAATAAGTTCTTCATCTGTGAACATATGAAGTGTCAAGTGTCCATGACTATTTATCATATCGCAACCTGCATAGGTATTTTCATTTCAATATCCCCTACTTTTTTTGAAGAGTATATAACCCGACAGCACAATTGCCAAATACCAGTTGAATACTAAGTTTGATTGTAGACTTAGCATGGACGAGTTCCAAATTATGCTATCTAATACTAGAAAAACTTAGTACATATCACACAATTCAACAACCCAGTCCGGTTATCCAAATAATTCCCAACGACTATATAAAGAGCTTGATGAGTTCGAAATGAATGAAACTAGTCGCTTCATGAGAGAAATCTGGGACGCCTAGTCGCCACTAATAGATTTCTAATTTTAATTACACTCACTGTGGAGTAACCTTACCAGCTAAGAATTTCCCAACTCTAGTCACCTCAAACGAGAAACCGAACCCAGATTCAAACACTACCTAGGGAAAAGTTGACCCTTTACCGAAACGACTCAGATTTCTAAATCACCTAACATTATTTTGCATAGGTGATATAATTGATTAAATCGGATAAAGATTGTGGCCTCTAGAGGGTCCACAAGTTAAAAACACGATTTTTCATACAAACAAGGGCCATAATTCAGGAGGTTACGATCTGATATGCGCGAATATCAATAGGAGCCAAGATCTTTGGGTTATAAATAAATATTTTAAGTTTTATCAAAATCAGATCAAAATTGTGACCTCTTAGAGTGTCCACAAGCTAAAAACATGTGTTTTCGTACAATCAGAGGCCATAATCCATGAAGTTATGGTCCGATACATGCCAATATCAAAATGAACCAAGATCTTTGGGATATAAACCTATATTTCAAGTTTCGGCAAAATAGGATAAAAATTGTGACCTGTTTAATGCCCACAAACAAATTGTGGACGGACAGATGGACAAGGGCGACGACAATATACGTCCACATGAAATTGTGGGTGTATAAAAACTGCTAATACATACCACTATCTGAACCATTATATAAAATACAATTATCAAACATTCGATGTAAATCATCAAAAAAGTCATCAGTTGTTTTATATTCCCGATTATTTACTTTACTCTCTATTCTCATTAAATCTATAGGATTCTGAAATATACAATAAATCACAATTTAGGCTTTAAATCCCGCCAAAATATTTGCTCAGTCTCAAACACTTTGACTAATGATACAATGAATACTGAGCTAGATAAATTAGCACCCATTGTGTATATGGTAACTGGCTGCCTGGCTGTGTGGGTATACTGTTCAGGCACTGATTTATTGGACATCTTGTCTCAATTACCCAGTTAACACATTCTGCATAATTTCATATGGATTCCAAACTTGAAAGGGTCGGTCTGGAGTGGTGAAAGATAGCCACACAAAGTGTGGAATACGCCCACACACCAGCTTATCCAAAAGGAAAACTTGGATATTGAGCAAATTTGATAAAGATTTAGGATCATTGAAGAAATCTAATCTGTGGATTATGAATATGGATGGGGATAGATGATCTCAATATGAAATATGAAAAAGATCCATTAAAAAAATGAAATGAAATGGGGTTTAACGTCCTACAGGCTAATGAAGACAGGCATACACTATACAGTGTGCCATGAGGGAAATTCTGCCCGGACACTATGGCCTACTTTTATGTCGAATTCCAACTGCGTACACAGGACCTCGGTTTTTCATTTCATCCAAATGACTATACAATGTCCCTTGAAAGGCACTCTGTTCTGCACTATTGACAAGGGAGAACCCACCGGAAAATCCTGATGAACTTTAACGGGCAACAGCGGGAATGTCCAACTCACTGAGCCACCGTGGCTCCTATCCATTAAAGATAGGTTGGGAGGCATCAAAACATACACCCAAAGCAGCTAAATCGTCTGACTGGTCAAAAAAGAGAGAGAGAGAGAAATGGGGTTTAACGTCCACTCAACACAACTAGGTCATTTCGGGACTAACATATGGTTTAATTTTATTTCAATAATTCACTTGCGCATAGGGGTCTTTAGCAGTGGGAGGAAACCGGAGGACCCGGAGAAAACCCACGAGGTTGGACAGGCGACCCTACTCCTTGTCACGTACAACCGGGGATTCGAAACCACGCCAGTCGAATCAATGACAGACTCTATGATACAGCGCGCGCACGCTAACCATTCAGCCATCCAACCCCCTGACTGGTCAAAAAGGGTTGTCGCATATTTTCTCTTTTGTAGGTGATTGGGGGCATTTACAAGACAATTTCATACAGATCAGATTATCATTTCATCAGGAAGTAATTTACAGAAATTGTTGAAATTCGAGAGGCTTTTTTCATTTTACTAATCCAAATAATGCATAAAATTTCATACAGATCAGATGATAACTTTTGTCATTCGAACGTTCACAAGGTTCAACAAAGTAAAACAAGGACCAAAACTCTAGAAGTAATAGACAGAAATTACTGAAATTCTTCGTTTCACTAATTTAAATGATGCTTATAAATTTCATATAGATCAGATTATAACTTTTGCCATTCGAGCGTTCATAAGGCTCAACAAAGTGAAACCAGCGGCTGCCAGGCAGGATACGCCCACATTTTGCAAGACATGGATAGAGAACAGGCTAAAAACAATCAGAGGCAATAATCCAGAAAGTTATGGTCTGAAATGTGCAAATATCAAAAGGGACTGAGATCTTTGGGATATAAAGATATGTTTTAAGTTTCATCAAAATCAGATAAAAATTGTGACCTCTAGAGGTTCCACAACCTTCGTATTGCATACTTTTACACAATTTGAGTACAAAGAGCGGCCATTTTGTTGGTCAGTTTCATTTCGATTTTCCCGAAATTCGAATTCAACCTTCATTATGGTGGAATGGTGAAATATTTAAACATTTTTTAAAAATTGTGACCTCTAGATAATCCGCAAGCTAAAAATGCCATTTTTCGAACAATCAGGGGCCATAATCCAGGAAGTTAAGTTCGGGTATCCGCAATTATCTAATGGATCCAAGATCTTAGTGTGTAATGGTGATATATTCAGAAATTTTTTTTAATTCAGACAAAAATTGTGACCTTTACAGGGACCACAAGCTAAAAACGTGATTTTTTTGTTCAATCAAGGGCCATAATTCAGGAAGTTACGATCCGATATGCGCAGATATTAGAAAGAACCAAGATCTATGGGTTATAAACTTACATTTCAAGTTTCATCAAAATCAGAAGAAAATTGTGACCTCCAGAGGATCCAAAACATTACGCTAATTGTGTACGAGAGATGGCCATTTTGTCCGGCAGTTTTGGTCCGATTTTTACGAAATTCCAACTCAACCATCTTTAGCGTGTAACAGTGATATATTCAAACGTTTTTTTAAATCGGATAAAAATTATGACCACTATAGGGTCCACAAGCTAAAAACACGATTTTTCGTACAATCAGAGGCCATAATTCAGAAGTTACTATCCGATATGCGCGAATATCGAAAGGAACCGAGATAATCAAAATCGGATAAAAATTGTGACCTCCATAGGGTCCACAACCTTGATATACCACATTTTTACGCTATTTGAGAATGAGGGGCGGCCATTTTGTCTGTTGTTTTGGGCCGATTTTCACGAAATTTGAACTCAGTCGTCCTTATGGTGTAACGGTGATATAATAAAACGTTTTTTTAAATCGGATAAAAATTTTGACCTCTATAGGGTCCACAAGCTAAAAACGCGATTTTTCGTACAATCAGAGGCCATAATTCAGGAAGTTACAGTCGAAAGGAACCGAGATCTTTGGGTTATAAACTTATATTTCAAGTTTCAACAAAATCGGATAAAAATTGTGACCTCTATAGGGTCCACAACCTCGATATACCATATTTTTACGCTATTTGAGAACGAACGCCGGCCATTTTGTCTGTCAATTTTAGGCCGATTTTCACGAAATTCCAACTCAGTCTTCCTTATGGTGTAACGGTGATATAATAATACGTTTTTTTAAATCGGATAAAAATTATGACCCCTATAGGGTCCACAAGCTAAAAACGCGATTTTTCGTACAATCAGGGGCCATAATTCAGGAAGTTACATTCCGATATGCGCGATTATCGAAAGGAACCGAGATCTTTGGGTTATAAACTTACATTTCAAGATTCAACAAAATCGGATAAAAATATAGGGTCCACAAGCCAAAAACGTGATTTTTCGTAAAAACAGGGGCCATAATCCATGAATTTTCGATCCGATACATGCCAATATCGAAAGCAGCCGAGATCTTTTGGAGATACACCTATATGTCAAGTTTCGTTAAAATCGGATAAAAATTGTGAACTGTAGAGTGTCCACAAACAAATTGTGGACGGACGGACGGACAAACAGACAGACGGACGTCCGGACGAACAGGGGCGACGGCATAATACGTCCACATGAAAATGTGGGCGTATAAAAATGAACTATTGTTATTCAATTGACCTTGATGGAAACACTGGGTCAATATAAAGGACTTTGCAATGGTTGAATTGCTGTCAAAAAATGATGTATCAGTACGCAGTAATGTTCAGTAAAAGTGAAATCTGCAGCAAAGAATTATATTTATCTTATTTGTGCATGTAAAAAGGGATTGGGTGATAAATAAAATCTCCTACTCGTCTTTTTTGATAAAAAAAAAGATCAACACTCATTGATAAAGTAACAAAGAACTCGGCAGAGCCTCGTTTTCTGTTACTTTATCAACTTGTGTTGATATTTTTTGATAACAAAAAAGACTGGTAAGAGATTCTCTATATATCCATTTCAAAACAATCAGAAAGATTCACCGCTTTACAACGATGCCAATTATTATGCCAGAGGAATGACCGGTTGTACCATAGTGAGCGAATAAAAATAACTAATCTTGCTGAGAATTTTAAGAAATAGGACAGATTTAAGAATACAAAACGTCCAAATAAAGGTGTTCTAAAATCTTTAATTGTGACCGCGTATATCAAAGTGAGTCGGAATACGCAAAATCTAATTTTGGACTAGAGACAAAATAAGTGAAAATATTGATTTTGATCGAAATTGAGATTTTCACAAAAATGAGTCTATAAATATACTATCTATCGACACATTTTGAACGGATACAATCAAGTTTTAAAACCCCTAAAAAATATAAACCACCTCTGCCTGTTGCTGTGCTGTCTACACAACTCGTTTGCTGATTGGCCCAGATAAATATTTGGTTTTGGCAATAATGTTTTTGGATACCTACATGTGATTCATTCTCAAAAGTGGCAGAAAAAAATTAATTCTGATCGTATATAGATTGCCGTTGAGTGTTAATCCAAACCACGTGGCTGATTATGTAAATTAATCGACATGCAGGTGGGTGTCATTGAGTAATACTAATCAACTGTCACAGGTCAATGATAAAGCCGTCGATAACTCCTTATTTACTCCGAATAATTAATCCAAGCAGTGATTATCTGATATCTCATATCTTTAAAAAAATAATTTATAGGCCTTAAATGGAAATAAAAAAAAATGGCCAATAATTTTCTTTTCGAAGAGAATTTTATTGATAGATGAATTCACTTTACTGTCGCTTCTTCATACGTACGGCATGCAAAGTAAGGAATGCATCTTGGATATTATTGTTTAAAATTCTCTTATCACCATGGGTCGAAAAAATGAGACAAGCCGAATTGCGACGATTCTCAAGTCTGCCATTGTTTAATTACATCAAAGCCAGAATGCACGAAAGTGAACACAAGTATTTCTTGACTATGAAATTGACATTTCTATAGGGACTCATATTTTGATACCGTTGCGGTACCTGAAAATAATAATAGACCTATCATACACACAAAATCTTATTTTAATTCACGTGTTAAATGAACACGTGTACAGCTGTGGCAGCTTCTTTGATGATTATCCAATCAACAATCTTAACCTCCTGACCACTAGCTGGCACTAATTAATTGATGAGATTAACTGTTAATCTCACCAACGTTATAATATACAAAACAGACTATTAATATAAAGATTATTCTTCAGTATAATTAACACTATCATGTGAATATGCCGCATGTGTTATGGATGTTTCTTCACGAAAGGAGTGCATTTACTATGATTTTCGTCGTCAGCA